CTACTGCACATATAATCTAATTTAAAGTTGCAAATAAAACTTATAAAAGTTAAGCAAACAAAAAACTTATGATGAAAACAGTTTCATCTGCAACTCGATCTGAAAATCCATCTTCTGTTCCTGGTTTTGCATGCCAACATTGTGCAGCTACTTATTTAGTAAAATATGAATTTTGAGTTGGCATATATTTCTTCAATTTCTTTTTTGGTATAAGTGTTAGCTCAGTTGGTCTAGTAGCTTTCAAAATTGATATATCTATATGCATTTTATAACAAGAATATATATTATATTATACAATTAATATACCTAAAACTTTCCTTCTGACAATATAATATTAGCTATATTGATATTGTTATTATTAATATTAATTTTTCTCCAAATTCACTAATCAGAATACCAACATCAATATTAGTAAAATAATCAATATTAATATTTGAAATTACAATTCTCAATAATGACAAATAGATTGAATATTCTTATATAAGAAACTGTAATGCTAAATTACATTATTCAAAGTATATAACAATAACTATGTATTGAACAACTTAATAATAATTTTTCATAACAGTTATTGAGATACTCTTTATTATTGAATTATAGATTGTACAAAATACTTAGTTAAAATAATCTACTACTATTGAAATTTAGTATTAGCATTAGCATCTTTATTAAATACCATTATTGTTATTAGTATTAGATGAACTACATTATAATCATATATTAAGTCATGTGTGTAGAAGTAGTTTTATAACTTTGCCTGAAGCTTTTTTATATTATAACAATTGCAGAGAAAAATAAATTAAATAAACAGTAAAATATGAACTCATATTATATTTTTATTTAGTTTGGTAGAAAGGATTAGCATAAAGTTTATAGTGCTATTACTTAAATAAGCTTTTTTTTCATTAAGAGAAAAACACAAATTCTGTGTAATGATCTTATAAATTGATAATTGCTCATGAATTAACAAACATTTTTTTACATTTTAATTATTAATCCATAACCATTAAATAAATAGCATAGTATATAATAAGATCACATGTTTTGGCCTGTTTTATTATTAGTGCTTTAAATTGTAATACAAAGAAAATTCTAGTCTACTTATACATGAAGTCTAATTAATTAGTTTATATATATATACCTTTACAATACAAGCAAATATCCTTTAGGCTATTTTATTTTGGCGCAATCTACTCTTAATAAGACACCTATTGTGGAAATTATTTACACTTAAGGAACACTTTACTCTTATTAATATCTAATGAAGAACTTGCATCTAATGAACAACTTACCTCAAACAACAATGTTCAAGCTAAAAAACAAGAATTGGATGAGGTTTTTGACTTTAATAAACCAAAGCTATTATTTCTTATAGGAGACCTCAAGAACTTACCTACAGAAATTTACTTAGATTGTACACTTTCAAAAACAGATCATTAGAAAAATTATTTGGTGAACCTCAGAATGCAGAAGTTGATTACAAACTAACACAACTGAAATAATATTTTCTATGAGCAATGTCTAGACAACAAAAAGAAGTTGATAAAATTATCTAAAACATTTCTTACTGAACATCTGCAATTCTATATCCTATTGACAATATTGAAAAGACCTTCTCAAAATCTAAACCAGATGAAAATAATCATAAAGCAAGAATAGAATATAAGCTTTTACACAAATCAAACCAAAATACTAGGAAATTATTACAAGATGCCTTATCATATACAAATGATCTGTGAAGAGATCTTACCCTTAAAGCTATATTATCAGCTCATACAACTGCAAAAAATAGAAAAGATATGTTTGGAGATAAGCTCAAGGATCTGGTTAAAGAGGAAAATGTAAGATTCAAATTATATAATAATGCAAACAAAGAGAAACAAAGATTCTTTCTATCTAGCTTACTAAACTAACCTTCAAGATACTTAGCAGAAGAATCATTTTCTTAACAAAATAATATATATAAACAAGATTATGAATGCTATAGTCTTATGAATTTAAAAAAAACCTAAAGAATATCAGAGAAACTCTTAGAAAAATAACCAATATGATGGTTATTTATAATTACAAGCCCAATATCTGAATGATTAAGACATTTTAAACAAGCATGACTAAAAAGGTTTGGAGATTAATGGTCATCATCTATAATAACAACAGGTTACTTACCAGAATAGAGCATCAAGCCTCAGTTAAGAATATCAGCAGTAAAGAAAAATATTCAAAACTACTCAGATATAAATATGATCAAAAAAGAAATCCAAAAACTGATTATGTCACAAGCAGTACAACAAATTCTAGAGCATTTATCTTGTGTTATCTTTAACATACTAGTAATTAACAAGAAGAATGACAAGAAGTAAATAGTTTTGGATCTAAGATTAATAAACACTTTTATAAAACATACTCATTTTAAAATAAAATTAATAACTATAGTAAAAAATTTAATTAGAAGGAATGACTACATAGCATCTATTGATATAAAAGATGTTTTTTTTTTATATATCACTGCATCTATTTACAAGAAAGTTTTTCATATTTAATTTTTTAGAAAAATGCTTTTGCTTTAGATGTCTTCCATTTGGATTAATGTCTTGTCTCAAGATATTTACAAAAATTTTGAGACCTGTGATCAAGAAATTAAGATCAAAAGAAATACATATTGTTGCATATCTAAACAATTTATTAATTATAGCAAAAGAGAAGAAAACAATCTTAAGATAGTATAGAACCTTCTTATCAATATAGAATTTGTGATAAATAAACAAAAGAATCAGACAAAACTACTCAATCTATAGAATACTCAGGTTTCAATATAAACTCAAGAAACATGACTATTCTTCTTCTGAAGAAGAAGATAAACCAGATAAAACAAAAATGCAAGGCAATAACAAAGAAGCATCTGATTTATGTTAGAAAATTAGCATCAATAATAGAAAAACTGTTGTCAACAGCCAATGCAATATACTTAGCAAAACTAAAATCACAAGAATAAATAAAATTAAAGAACCAAGTAATAAAAAAAAGAGGTTAAAACACTTCTTTGAAATTGTCAACAAAGGCATTAGAACAGCTGAAATAGTGAAAAACCTATCTACAGAAGTGGAACAGTCAGTCATTAATACCTGATACCTTATTAGTTACAATATTTACAGATGCATTACAACATGAATAGGACATCAGCAGAGAGAATACATTGATAATAGTCTGTGAAATAACAAAGAACAAAAGTTCTACATCAATATTTTAGAAATGAAAACAATTTAGTTTGCATTCTTAACCTTCAAAAATCTGTCAAAAAAGTTAGTCTTAATCAAGATAGACAATTAAACTTGTGTAGCTTATCTCAACTACCAAGATAATGTGATTTTATCAAAAATTAGTGCAATAGCAGAATTGATATAAGAAATGTGTCTTCAAAAAACATTAAATTGAAAGCCCAATACTTGCCAAGAACAGACAATATAATGGCAGATTATGCATCACATCTAAAGTTCAACAAATATAATTGAATGATAAACTTCAAGATATTTAGTATGATTTACAAGTTATGGGGCCTATTCAAAGTGGACCTTTTTACCAACAGATTGAATACACAACTGCTAACATATTACTTATGACACTCTAATCCAACTTCACAGCAGTGGATGCTTTTTTACAACCATGGATAGGAACAATGAATTACATAAATCCTCTATAGATATTGATTCCCAAAATTTTAGCCAAAATCAGGAAGAAATAGGCAACCATATGTCTAATTGCTCTTTAGCCAGTTTGTTCTCTTTACTGATAAATATGCTAATAAAATTACTATAAGTTTTGCTAATAAAAAACCTCATAATTCTAGGCCTGATATCAGGCACCATACTCCAACTAACAACAAATTATCTAATGTGTGCATAGCTTATCTTCAGAAATGTCTTCAAAAAAAGGACTTTTTATAACAAACTATTAACTTATGCTATAAAGCATTGAATTTGAACTCAAACAATACTGTATTATCTAATATATATGTATAGACAGCATGGTGTTCAGAACATTTTAAAGATCTTATTCATTGCTTTTTAGAAGACATTATGTTATTTCTCATTACAAAAGCTTATAAAAGAAAATTATATAATACTATAGCCACTTATAAATCTACTATAAGTGAGGTTCATGAACATATTAATAACTTATTAGTTGGTTATAATTAAGACATAGCCAAGTTAATGTTGGGCATATTTAAATCTAACCTTTTTACTGAAACAGAAGATGATATAATCATTCAATGCATAAACCTCAAAGAAATTAATATCGCTATAGATTATGAAGTTAACAAAAAGCAATCAAAAAAGATTTTTATTAAAAATACAAGAATTATGAAACCTTGTGCCTTGCAACAACCTTATGCCACTATTTAAACAGAACCTAGAACCTCCAGTTTACTAGTGAACAAAGAACAGCAGTATTTTTGTCTAATATAGGCTTTTATAAACTAGTAGCACTAATATGATAGCAAACTGGTTAAAAAATATTGTTAGAAAATCAGCTTCTAAAGAAAAAGCAAAAAATATTTGTGTACTGTCAACAATTTTAGAACAAAATAAAGGTGCTAACTTAAACTAAATTCTAGCACTAGAAAATTGGTTCAGTCTAAATACTTATCAGTGCTTCTATCAGAAAGGAATAAGATTAATGTTAGAACAAAACAATATTACAAAGAAAATTATAAACCAAGCCAGAAATGTATTAAAAAAATGTAATCTTATTATATACTATGATATTTATTTTATTAAATGTATGAGATTTATCGAAATACATTTAAAAATAAATGAATAGTATATAATAAGATCATATGCTTTCTTTTTTAGTAGATTTAGATTAACCTACTCTCTTTATTAATAAAATAGCCTAAAGGATATTTGCTTGCATCATAAAGGTGTATATATATAAACTAATTAATTAGACTTTATATGTAATATAAGTAGACTAGAATTTTTTTTGTATTACAATTTGTAGCACTAATAATAAAACAGGCTAAAGCATGTAATATTATTATATACTATTTGTTTATTTTCAAATGCATTTTGATAAATCTTATATTTGATAAAATTATCCAATTATACCAAGAGCACCACTAATTTATTTCAGTAATACAAAATTCTATTGGCCAAAATGTAGTACAAATTTTTATATACTTAATCATGACTTTCTTATTACATTCTGACTAATAATATTATATACTTAATTACTGTTATCTCTATTGTTTGTATAATAAATTTTAGAATCTATTATGTACATATATACTAATATTTTTACTATAACTATTATTATTGTTGTTGGATTTAGCATCAGTATAATGATTATATATATTAACACTCATACAGTAATTGCATAATGAAAAAACTTTTCTTCATTAGCTCAAAATGATATTGAATATTATAGACAATTCTGAGACTTTTTTTGCAATGTATTTGTAAAGCCTTAGAGTTCCAATCTGAATAAATTTATCATTTATTTATCTATATCTGAATTTTATCCAGATATCCATTTACTATTGATATCTGGATAAACTGACAAATATTCAGATAATTATCCAGATGACAATAGTAAACCGGATATTCAATAAATTCAGATCTAAATATTCAATAGATAAATGGATAAATAGATAATGGATAGGAACTCTATAAAGCCTATATAATTAATTTATTTATTCATAATTTATCATTATTTTTTTCTTTTTTATATAAAGTGATGTAATTACAGTAATAATTAAAACATTTGCATACCAGTTGCAGAAAAATCCTCAAGTGAATTAGTGAAAAATCTAGTTACAAAACTTAGAATCACAAAGGTAAGGTTAAAAAGGTATTTATTATATGAATTTGTAAAGAAACAAGAATACAATAATGAATAACACATTGAAACAATTGTTTAGAGCCTATGATTACTAGAGTTTTTGGTTGTAGAAAATGAGTTAAAAGGTAAAATGTGAAAAAAGTTGTTAATCTAGATTCTTGAATTGTTTAAATATTAAATTTGAATTCTTTTATAATTTGTTAAATACCTAGAAAAATAAGAAGTTAGAATAAACTTGTAAAATTATTATTATTTAACTAAGAAATTTTATAATATCAAAAATTTAAAGCAATTAATTATTTTAAATATAAATACAAATAATATTGCAGAAATTAGCTCCAATTTACTTTTGATTTTATGTTAGTACAATAATTTTAAAAAATAATATTTTGAAATTTATTTACTAAAATGTATGCTAATTATATTTTTATTTACATACAACATATTGTAAATTTTTTTTAAAAAAAAATTTGTATTAAAAATTTAATATTCCTTTTTAAAGCTTCTAGTCATTTGTTTCAAAATTATTAGTTAAGATTTGTTTATAAAAATCATATCTTCTAATAATAATACTTTATTATTTTAAATTATGTAATTTATATGCCCCATCAAGACACAGAAATATTTATAATACATTACCTTTAATTTGAGTTGGGATTAAAGAATAATTGCATTTAGTTTTCATTCTCATTGGTCTTATTGTAAATAATATGATTTAGTAAAACAAAAAATAAAATATAATTAATAAAAAAAAAATAAATAAATTTTAATAAACTTCAAGTTGAAATTAAAAAATTGATTGCTATTTTGCATTTGTCTCTGTTTAGTCTTATAAAATTAAAAAAAAAGATTAGTATTTAAAGCATATCTTTATAATAGTAGAATAATTTATTATAATACTTATGTCTTGCAAATTTAAAAATATTGTATATTAATTATGGTCTTTCCAGATACATGAATTAGTTATTCTTCTTTTATATAATTTAATGTCTATTACTAAATTTTGTATGCCTTTAAAACTTCCTTAAACCAATTGCACCTATTGAACATTATTGGAATTTTCCTATTCTTGTATAATTTCAAATGTGTCATAAAGTAATGATTTGTATTCTTCAAATATTTGTAATAATTTGTTATTATCTTCATTTGAATTAATAATATAATTTATACTATTGACTATATATAAATAAATAAAAATATAAGTTCATATTTATTAACTTGAAAATACTTGTTTCTTATCTGTATTTGCTTGCATTAATTGTACTATTGAAGATTGTTGTAATAATATATATTGTGATTGTAAAAAAATAAAAGAATAGACTCCTTGTTAATGATATTTTCAAAAAAAGACTTATTAATTATATATTGAGATGCTTGAACTAAATGTTTACAAGAAAAAATTGACTAATTAAAAATTTTAAGCATCTGCAAATCTACTTTTCAATATTGATTACATAATTATGATTGATTTTTTTTTCTTTTAATATAATCTATTTTTTTGAAGTCTTTTCTCTAAGAAGATATTTTTTGCTTATAATAATATTTATTATATTGTTGTTTGTGATGTGAAATTAAGCAAGTAACTATAATATAAGTAAGAAAATCAAGATATAGTCTAAAAAACTTAGGCAAATCCTATTTTATAACTTCCAATAGAACTTACATAATATTGTAATGTAAAAAATATAAATCTTATTACATTTAGATCATGTTCACAGATTTCAAATTTTTTTGATATCAATTTTTCTATAAATAAGTTCACAAAAACCTTATATTATAGTAGGTACAAAATTCATATATTTGTTTTGTTAATTGTTTTCAAATTTGATTTGTTATTAAATCAAACCTATTAATATTTGGAATTAAAGAATAAAAGTACATATGTTGTTCCATTATTTTTATAACTTTAGGATATAATTTTTTAGGACAAAAATAATAATTTTTTTTTGCATCTGAGTTGCTTGTAATGATAATAAGAGATAAAATTCAATATCAATAAACTCAAATTCCTGATGCACTAAATATGAACTATAATTAATTTTTTTTGGATATATATTGTTAATAAAATGTTTTTTAAACACTTTTTCATATATCAAAAACAAATATGAATTTTTGAATTTTATAAAACTTTTAATACTGCTGAAATCTGAATAAAATTCTTATCTGTTAAGAAAAAACTAATATTATTTAATTCTAAATTAAATAAGAATTTAAAGAATAAAATCAAAATATTTGTATAAGCACTATTATCTTTTTTAGTTTCTTCAATAAATAAATAAGCAAGTGCAAATCCAGATCCATTATATTGACTAACTATTACATATAATTCATATTTTAAAACATTGGTTTTATAAATAGTATCAATGATTATCTTATGATTATTTTTTAATAAATTAAAAAATGATGTTACAAAACTCAAATATTGAATATTTTGAGTGTTGAACAAAATGATCTTGTATTTATTTTATTCAATAAGTATTCTTACAGAATTTAATTAATTATTCTCATCATAAATATACTCTATTTTTAAAAAAATAAGACCATCATATATGAACTTGTTTTTGAATTAAGTTTGAGTTTTGTTATTCTAATTGCTTAAAAATATCTGTAAATATGAGATGAATATACTTCTTTATTTTAGTTTTAATATTATTAGACATATTAAACTGATCTGGACACTTATGAAATAAATTATACTAAAGATCAATTGTTACCATGTTTGTTTCCATATTAAGTATTATTTTTAAAGTACCATTATAGGAAAATCTATCAATATATTCTCTATCATGCTGTTTATAGAAATTTTTATGTTTTCTTGAATACTTAACTAATATACAACTTTGTAAACTATTGTATGAAAATATATATTTATTATGATCTTTTTCAGACTTATAGACCTTATTATAACTACATATAAATAAATATAATCATTATTACATATCGATATTATTATTGACAAATATATAAACATTACTTATATATAATAGTATCTATTAGTAGATCTTACGATCTTGACAATTTTTTTTCTAAGTTCATGAGGTTTGCTTTTTAGTAAAACAGTTGATACTTTGCATGAAAAATCTATACCTGAATTTTTATTTTCAACATACTCATTATTTCCAATCTTAAGAATATGTTCAAATAATTTTTTTTTCATTTCATTAGGTTCAATGAGATCTTGATTACAAGGTACATTTTCATTAGATTTTGTAGCATAATAAATTGTTAAATTTTTTTGCCAACATTTATAACATATTTTTGTAGGTTTTCCAATTTTACCAATAAAAGCAGTTTGTTCAAAGCTTTTGGAACATTGATCACACTTGCACATATTAAAAATTCACTTGTTATTTTGCAAGACAAGAATTTTTTTTACTTCAAATTTATTATACATATACTGGTGATAAGCAAAATGATTTAAATGTACACAACAATTAAATGCTTCAGTATGTAATTACGATAACTTCGTAATTGCAACATAGAAAATAATAGTAAAATACTATTAGTCAGAATGTAGTGAGAAAGCCACGATTAAGTATATAAAAATTTGTACTACATTTCGGCCAATAGAATTTTGTGTTACCGAAAAAAATTAGTGGTGCTCTTGGGGTAGTTAAATTATCCGAATGAACATGTGACATCATCATGTGGTAAGTCATGTGGCTCAATAACTTCTATCGAGTTTCTTTAATATTGTGACAGCTGTAGAAAAAATAAAGTAAATAATTGATAAAGGAATAAACTACATGATATTTTATTTAGCACAACGGAAAAGGTCAGCAATAGTTTGTGATGATATTGTTCAAATGAATTTTGCATCACTATGAAAAATCGTAAAAATCTGCATGACGGTCTTTTAATTTGGCAACTGCTTATTGGACTAATGGACATAATCCATGACCGATATACTGTACATATTGAACACTTAAAAATTCTATTTGCTCGAGATCAGGTGAAAATTTATACGGGTCTATGCGGGTCCCTCGGGTACCCACTTCTGAGAACCGAAATCGAGAGGCTCTAAAATCATAGAACCGGACTCGACCCAATGGGCCGGTTCTCAGTTCGATTCCAGGTTTCGGTTCGGTTCTGCGGAACACTAGTATAAATGGTTATCTTAAAAATTTTTTAAATTCTTGTAACTTTATTCTTCTGGTCTTTACATTTTTACAAAAAAAATTGTTTCAGCAATTATAGTTATTTTTATTATGCAATTTAAAAACCGGCTATTTTACTTGCTGGTTTAAGATATCCCGAACTGTAGAATAGAAAAAATTGATTGTTACTTATTAAATGATATTGATCATATATTTCTAATTATTATAAGTTCTGTGATTTATAAATAAATGACCATAATTTTACATAATACTTCTCAATAATAAATTATATATTTGGATATAAATGGGATTTTTTTATTTTAATAAAGTTACTTAAACATCTTGACATAAATTACAAGATTTATGGTCATGCTACTACTATGAAAATATTATCTATTTCTATTATATATAAATGTGAGCAGTTACTTTAATAAATACACTAATGGGCTTATACGTAATAATATCATAATGATTTTTATTCGTATTGCATAACTTAGAATTATGGCTGGAGCTAAAGGTCGCAATATATTATTATCCGTTCAGTTGGCAGTACAGGTATATATAACACTCCATATCAATAATCTATTCACTCCAAATAATAAAGCTCATTTAGTAAATAATTTAAAAGGAGGCATGTGATAAGGGTGAATGTGCTACTTATCAAGTATATTTTGTTAAATTAAAATCATTAATCAAGTCATAAAATAATCAAAACAATTTGCTACTACAATAATGAAATGAATTAATAAAGATACAAGCACGAAAATTAATAATAAAAAACCCTCAAAGTTTTTTTTTTTGTTTTTAATCGTTTTTTCCATCAACATCAACAGCAACATCACGATTCAAATTACTCATTTCTTTTGTTTCATTTATTTCGATAGATTCCTTTATTTCCGTAGTTTTTTCTAACCCACGAATCTTATATATAATGGATACAATCCAAATAGGGAATAATCCTTCTCCACCTGATCCAATCATAAAATCACCCCAAGGTTCTTTATCTGATTTATCATGAGTCATATGACCAAATGAAATTTTTTCTATTAACCATGCAATAGTATTAATAATCATATAAGAAACGATACCAGCGATTAAACCATAAGCGACATTATATGTCAATGGCATAATCACAATAGTTCTATAAATAAATAAATAAATAAGTAAATAAGTAAATAAATAAAAGAAAGTATGTAGATAAACTTTGAATGTTAATATAAAGAGATATTTAGGTAAAAGTAGATACTTACAAGAAACTAGGTATAGCATCACCAATATATTTCCAATTAACATCTTTAATACTTGTTGCCATCATAGAACCAATAACTACTAAAGCAGGGCCAGAAGCCCACGGAGGTATGCTAGCAAAAATAGGAGCAAAGAATAAAGAAATAAAAAAGAAGAATGATACAGTAAGAGAAGTAATTCCAGTTCGACCACCTTCAGTAATTCCAGAACCAGATTCAATATATGTAGTGACAGGAGATGTGCCAAAAATAGCACCGATAGAAATTGAAGAAGCATCACATATAAATGCAGCAGTAGAACCCTCAAAATCACCAGTTTCATCTAAAAAACCACCGAATTTTGCCATTGAATAGAGAGTCCCAGTGGTGTCCAGTATATCAACATATAGGAATGTTATTAGGGCTAGCCAAACTTCTGAGCTTCCAAGGTTGAAATGCATCACACCTAGTGTCCTGATGTAATGAATACATTTATAAATATTTATATGTATAAATGGTATAAATGGTATAAATAATGCTTACTTTTCAATGGCATGAAAACCAACTACATTTTTAAAGAAATCAAATCGAGCATTACCCTCATCCCTATGAAGAATATTGTCTCAGTATTCGTTATGATATGTATCATAATATAAACAATTTTATAAAATATTTTAATTAAGACATACGTGTAAGGAAAATAGGTGACTTCACTGTTTCTAAACCAACTTACGATACTTATGAAAATAATTCCCAAAAACATGCTTCCTTTTACTCTGAAGAGCAATAGGATCACAATGAGCAAGAAACCTAAAATTCCTAACCAAGTAGTCGGACTTTCCATATGGTGACTAGTACAAATACCAGTAGTTTTATTATAATATTGATCTGGACAACCACCAAGAGTCACTATTGTGGAAGGATCATGACTTATTAAGGCAATACCAGCACTCCTTTGTAATCCAATAAAGGTGAGAAAGAAACCAACACCAGCACCAGTTGCAATTTTTATAGACATGGGAAGAAGTTTTGCAAGTAATTGGCGAAGACCAAATACAGAAAAAAAGACAAAGAGAATGCCTTCTACGAATACAGCGGCAATAGCAGTTTCATATGGAATTTTACCTGAACCATGAAAGCCAACCACAGTATAAGCAAAGTAGGCATTCATGCCCATCCTTGAAGAATTAATTAACTATAATTATTAAATATTGAATTAAAATTTTGAATATTGAGAGATTTGAAATTACCCTGGGGCAAGAGCTAATGGTAAGTTCGCAAAGATCCCCATAATAGCGGTCGCTATGCACGAAATGGCAGTTGTAGCAGTAATTAAATCTCTTTGTAATATTGTTTGACAAGCTAAATAATCAGGATCATTAACACATAAATCTGCAGCACTGGAGTTGCAAACACATGGACCACCTTACAGAAGGAATTAATTGAGAATTAATAACAAGAAGTAAATAAGTTTTAAACATGATGAGAATTATGTACCTGAATCAGCAAGGATTATTGCATTAACAGATATAATATAGGCCATAGTAACAAAGGTTGTCAATCCAGCACGAAGCTCAGTGGTGAATTGAGTATTGCGAGCATTAGGAACACCACTGTTTCCAAGTTTAAAGTATCTACCAATGAAGCTACTAGCTACAGCGTCATTTAATTTGTCGAACATTATCGTTATCGAAAATTAATCTTTATTCCTTATTATATATTATTATTAGTCATTAAACATGAATAAAAAATAAGACTTCGTTAATGGTAAAAAAGATACCATCAGGTTATAAATTGGAATCAAATTATTATATTTTAATTATAAGGAAAACTTGTGATTCAAGCTTATTGGCAACATTTAACAGTACAGACTATATTATATGTACTAGTCTCCCACAACTATGTAATATAAAATTACTAAATAAAGGACTATCTCCGTATATTCCGTTAGTAATTATCTTGCAAAAAAGATGACCCAAGGTTTAATTCCAGATCATCCGGATGATTGACGGGTACATATGGGTAAGAAAATTACCGCAGAAAATAATTATTTCAGTATAGTCGTATACAGTCAAACCTCTCTATAATCACACCTTTGGTTTCAAGAATTTGATGCTTATAGAGAGTTTGTGCCTATACGGAGGTTAAATTTTATAAGTGTTATATAAGTTGGTTTTTAAAAATTTATGTGATTATAAGTTAATGTGACTATAAAGTAGGTGACTATAGAGAGGTCTGACTGTATACATCCAAAGATAATTTCTCTATGTAATATACAGAAAAATAGGTCGTTATTTTTGCAGTTAATATATGTGCTTATATTGCTTCTGCCGTTTAGTTGCGATCCTAGGAATTTTCTATAAAAGCAATTCAGGATTTATTAGGATTAGTAGAATCAAGCATAAATTATTTAATTTGTGATGATAAATATTTGTTTTATACTTAAACTTGGTACGTAATTCAGATTCATAATGATCGACTTTTCACATAAAATTGATTTCAAATATAAAACATATTCAGGTTATCGTTCTTTTCGATTTAGTTGGATCAGATCATTTTTTTCCGAGTCCCATGGGTCCGTAAGTCCCGTGATTATGTTATAAATAACTACCTTTTATTCGTCATGTTTTGTGGAACTCATTTAACAATTAGTGTTTATTTCTTATTTACCAGCAGGTTTTCTTTTTACAAACTCCTTATACTAGTAATATATCATGAATACACATGAAAACTAAAAAGCAGTTAAGTGAATTTTCAAAATAGTGTTTGTAATTGTTAGCAGTTTATCATAAACAATGATCAATAGAGTTACTATACATGGCAGTTATATATAATTATAATTTATTGTAAACCTTTTATTATAATGTTAACATGTTTTGATCATTATAATTATAAAATCAGTATTTGTTATAATTATTAAAGATGTTTTTTTTTGTTTTAAAGAATTAAAAAATAAAATTTGTTTATGTGATTTAAAAATAAAACCATCTTATCATGATACTTTTCAATTTAAATAAAGATAACAAATTCATGGTTGATGTTATAAAATTTTAAACCTCATTTTGTTCAAGTTACTTGGTTAAAAAAACGTTGCAAATTTTTTTAGATATAATAGTAATTTTAATACCAATTTTGTTAATAATGTGAATTAGATAATATTTAAGATATGTGTTAGATAATAATTATAACATGTAAGACAAGACTAAGTTATTGTTTATTTAAAATAGAATTATTTCCAAAAGCCTCAAGTCTCTCTGTTTTGTTATATATTTTTTTAACAGTGGTTTTAAAAAATCCAGCACGTACATAATATATGATCTTTAGAATAACCCAATAACTAATTTGACATACTCTTTTTAGCATAATGAGATCTAACGATAAAGACAAGCTTGTAAGTATAGAATACTAACACCATTACGTAGACCTACTGAGTAATTGATTGTGAGGACAATCAATTGCAATTATTTGAACCCAATTATTATAACGATAATTGATTGATGCTCAGCCAAAAAGGGTAAATTAATTGCAATTTTTGCAATATGTACTAACTTAATAATAAAATACGTACGTATACGTATGAATATATTTGCTGATCTTTGACATCAAAGATTGTACGTAGCTAAAAATAAATAATGCAATCAAATAATTGCCTTTTTGAATTAACTCGAATCACAAAGACATTCTATTACATAGACATAAACATTAGTATAGCATTCTAAATCCTTTTTTTAAAATCGTTTCCAATGCATGCCAAAGTTCTGAACAAAATGCTACATAACTGCCTTTTTTAGACCTTTAAATGACGGTACCTTTTTTATACCTTCAAATGATATGATAGACATCAGTGTAATTTATGTTCTTCTGGATCACAGTCGATAATTAAAAAAAAAAAGAACAAACGGGTTATAAAATTTTAATGAATTATTTAGATATGGTTACAGCTAATGGAAATATATTTCTGTATCCAATTTTTTTTTAGATTCTACATCATCGCAAATTCTATAGTAAAAGAATTGTTCACAATTAAATTGTATTATAATTGTTTTTACAACGATTTTTGTTGACAGTAATAGTTGCAGTTAATTCTTCTATTACTAATTTTTTCGAACCTGTCATAATGCAAAGTGGATTAAACGCTATTAAGCCATATAAAGGAGATAAAGATATATTCTGTTTAAAATTTAGGAAAGTCCTTCGGTCATCCAAGGATCGGGCCAGTCCAGTCCTTTTTAGGACGGATCGAGAGGACTATTGGTCCTAATAGTAAGTAAGGATGAGCATTAGGACAACATCTGAAAGAACACCGCACATGGCAAAACTTGCAATTGATTTTTTTGTTAAGACGCAGAAGGTGGTTTTATAGCAAAAACTTCGAGTTATGGACGATTTTTTGAAGTTTATTTTATTTTCATGTTATGTCTGATCCTGTGCCGTGATTGGTTTAAAATCACAAGACACAACTTTTATTCCAAGTTACACAATCATAGACGAAAGTAACTAGAAGCATGCATTTAATTCAAATCGTATTTGGGAAACCCTGAGAATATCTTATCTATCCAATCTAATTCTAATCGGTCCTATTCGGTCCTGGACCAGGACGTACCAATTAACAGCCCCAAGTAAGAATGAAAATATATTGTAAGCTTGAAAAAATTTTTATTGCCTAAATTTAGAGTTTTCGGATTTTAATAAAGATTTTGTATATATAGTGTCTGAAGCCTGAAATTACTCCTGCCTAAATTTACTAACTAATGCATAATCTAATTCCAGGTACTAATTCAGCCAAATATAATTTCAGACGGGTATTAACTTTAAGCAGAACATATATATTATTTACTTTGTTACACTATTCTCTATGTGATTAGCTAATAAACGTGACGATGCCCATTCACTATGATCAATCAAAATAAGAATTGTAATTAATATTTAATTGATACTTAATTGGTACTTGAGAGATCCATTAATATTTATCAAATATCGTTATTACTACATTTAGTTCGTTACAAAGTTGCTTGTGCAATCTTTTTGAATACTCGATTAATTGTAAATTTTGCCAAGTCAGGGGGTAAAAAAAATGGGGTACATGTCATTTCACCGACAATCAATTCGCAGACATCCCATTTCACCGACAATCAATTCGCCGACAAGTTTATTTCACCGACAACTATTTCACCGACAGCCCATTTCA